ACCTAAAAGAAATGGGATATATGTACAAAGTGATTTAAAGTGATAAGGAGGAAAGGTCAAAAGGGCTGGTGCGAACGTGACACGAGGACCCATGCGAGGCACCGCCCATGGTACAGATAATGATTTAAAACACGATCAACCAAAAAACGGTTAAAAACTAGGGATGGCAGGGGCAGGAAGGTACAATTGACCAGATACAAGGATAGAATATGTCAAAGTGATTGTGCAAGAGTTGAAACATGTGCTCGGTAACAAAATTACTGAAGGAAGGAGTAGTTGAAAAACTGGTAGGGGGTGAAAATTTACAGATATAGTTCCAGAGCCTAACAATACGATTAGAGTAAAAGGCCTGAAAAGTGCTAGTTTTACATACAGGAGTTTTAAGGTTAAAACAATTACTTAGTCTGGTTCGGCCGTGAGAAACAGGAAAGACAAAATCATAAATATTAAAATCAGTAAAACCATTCCGACATTTGTAAAAAAAAAAACAAGATCTTTGAGTTCGCGGTCAAATGTTAGAGGAAGAAGTTTCAAAGTTAAAAGTCTGTCTCTGTATGACATCACGCCTACACGTTGTTTGAGGATCCACCTTGTGGCCCTCCTTTGAACCCTTTCAATTTTAGTTTTTGATACAATCTGGTCCGGGGACCAGACTTGGGTCGCGTAGGATAGCTGAGACTTCACAAGTGCAATATAAAGTGAGCGTCTTGCAGAGACGTCATTTAATAATAGGTACGTGCGTTTTAGAAGTCCAAGTAATTTGTTGGCCTTAGGAGTAATGGCATGGATGAGTGTGTTCCAGGTGAGAGAGTTGGTGATGTTAACTCCAACATCTCTTTCCGTGGTCACACGCTCGAGCTCTAAATTATCAAGCTTGTAGATGAAGTCTAGCGGGCTCTTTTTTCGAGTGATGGTTAGCGCCTTGCATTTAGAAGCATCAAACCGGATATTGTTGTGCCGAGTCCACGTGTTCATGTTGGTCAAGGTTTTCTGCATAGACATCCAGTCATCGATGGTATTGATGTTGCGATATATTTTGGTTTCGTCGGCAAAAAGGGAGGTGAGGATTTAAGTTGAAAGCCGCCGAAAAACACCATAATAAAAAAAAAAAAACTTCAACCAACAAAACAAAATAGTATTTTTTTTTTTCATCTTTAGCTCGACACCATATTGCGAAGGAAGAAGACGAAGAAGAGGAGCAGGTGAACGATGACGAAAACAATGACGATGATGATGGGTCCCGGATCAGCAAGCTGATGAGTTCGAAACTTGGTATCGGCGTCAGAAAAGATAATAATGATGATGACGAGGATGATGAAGATGGGATAAGCTTGACTAAATTGATAGGTTCAAAGATGAGGGTCAGAAAAAAAGAAAATGACGATGACGATGGAATCCGTATCAGTAAACTGATAAACTCTAAGCTTAGCGTCGGCGATAAAGATGATAACGATGATGATAAAGTTGAAGCTAGTGAACAAGAAACAGCAGAGGAAAGTGAGACTGATGTCAGAAGTAAACTTCCGTCGAGATTTAAGCGTCCAACGCGAAAGGATTTTGAGAAGCACAAGAAAAACAGGTTTAAGCATAGACAATCAAATCGTAGTAAATCTCACCATAAACGCTGGCTAGGCAATGCATGATAATTAGATCAGATTTGTACTTAGTTTTAATAATTTGAGTGGCGATTTGTAAATTGCGATTTTGGTTTGCACGACGTATACAAAGTGCCAGTGTCGGTGATGTTACGATGCGCAGTCTTTTTAACCCTTCAGTTGAAATTCACCAGTTATTGACCCACAACCGATCCTCTTTTTGAGTCAACTGGACGATGTCGACAAATTATCAACATGGAAGGAATCGCTCATAACATGATCTGGGAACTAACCCACAAAAAAATTACTGCGAATGAGGGGCTAGTTGGGAAAAAGATTCAACAGATATAAGAATTAAACGGGAAAAAAAAAAGGAGCCGTTTTCATTTGATGATTTAAGTGTATTATTTTAGTCTTTTATATTATCAATATTGTCAACCATGAAAAGTCTTTCCTCGTCTCTCTTAAAACATTTTCACCAGCGAAGCTCTGGTTAAAAACTGCACAAGATTGTCAAGTTTTACAGGCAGTCAAGGTGTTTTAGACTGATGATTATGCTGAAAGCAAAATCAATCTCTCCATTTTAGTGTTTACTTCGTATTCTTCGCAAATTGAATTGATGAATGACTTGCAGTTTGCAGATCAAAACAAAGTGTTAGTAGACTTAGAAGACCTCTACATTGTATCTTAGTAAATCTTATTGAAAAGAAATATTTGTTAATAAAGAGTTAAGTTATTGATCACCTTTGAAATGAGTTTGTTTCTGATTCACTTCTTTGGTTGGAGTTAACTTTAGAACCCGGTCGTTCGAAAGGTGATTATTGCTAAGCCCCGGGGGGGGGGGGGGGGTAAATAGCTTAACTTTACTCTTTTTATCGCCCCTGTACATAAGCGCATTTTGTGCTAAAGTCTTGTGACGATCTAATAAAGTCTAAGGCATACCTGAACTTGCAGGAAAAAGCTCCTCAAAGCTTTAAAACTAAATAACCAAATTTTCTCTTATCCAGTGCTACAACGCTTTATGGATGCTTGAGATTATTTACTTAGAGTCCCTATTCATTTACAAATCACGTGGTTTACGTCATATCAGAAGTATTCGGCCCACGCCCTGTAATATGTGCTTATTGTAAGATTATGGACAGATTGCCAGAGGTGTAACACTGAAGTTGAAATCTAACGCTAAGTAAAGAACTGACCTTAGCGAGTTGCACAAAACAATATCGTTAAATTAAGTAAGGCATTTTTGTGAATTTTCATAAGTGGATTTTAAGGACTTGCCAAGCAGGTGACTCAAAGCAATGTAACGCATGGCTGTGCCTCATTGACTAAAACATCTCCATACCATTGTCCAAGATGTGTGGGGTTGGTTTCGTTCATGTGGGCTCATTGAGGCGACTGGTTTTTGTCACTTGCCCTGACATCCATAGAATCTTAAGGATTTGGAAGTCGCCCAAGCGTAGTATGAAAAATATCCAGTTCTACTACACAGACACGAAGAAGATGAACCACAAAGATGAGAGGAAAGATAGAGGCGAGTGTATGGTTGTATTTAATGACACTGCTGCACGCAAGAATGACTTTTTGTGGAAAGGAGCGCATTTCAGAAGCCGATGGCAAACGTGAAGGTAATTTCTGTATCATGGGGTACATAGCAAAAGTCGTGCATTTGATACGTCTGAACTGACTTACAAGTAAAGTAACAAATGTACCACAGGGTGGTTTGTTATGGCTCGTTCATCTAAGATCAAGTAAAAAAAAAAAAAACAGAAACAAAACAAATAATTATTGGAGATGGGTTCAATTAGTTCCGGTTTTGAAAGTCAGTTTGTGAGAGTGCAGATTCAAGCAGGCGTTTTACAAAAGTTTCGCCACAACTCGTCACGCAAAACTGACTTTTACTATGTAATATGCTATGTTAACTGACATCTCGCTATTCATACGTACTGTAATACACATGAGATCCTTTTCAGCTTTTGTCTCGATATCAGAGACACAACTGACATTCTTTCACCAAGTTGTTAGCCTAACAACCTGTTTTCTCCCATATTCAGCTGGACGACAAATGACTGACAGGGCAATAAAATTAACTGATGTAACCTCGTGCCATACTTCAGTCAAGCGTTAACTTCGACTGGAATGTCGATTAATTCTCATAACTTTTCGCATTTGTTAAAACATTTGACATGCAGATACAAAAGGTTTTTGAATATCTGTGACATGCAAATCCAGGCAATCAATAAAGTTGAGATTTAGTTTTTTTTCGTGTGCTAACACTGACATTCCTTATTTCAATCTCAACAGAAAATATTTCCTCAGGTAAATTTAATGGACGAAGGGTTTTAGTCGCTCGCTTACCAAAGGCAGCTTTGACGGAAAAACATATCCAGTTGCGAGCTACTGCAGATGAGAAAGTCGAAGAGATTGATGAAGCTGTGGTGCGACCATCAATACCCGCCAAATCAGTGGCTGACTCGCTCGTTGAAATTGTCGAGGAAAAAATTCCCAGTAAACTTCGAAAAGACAATTTTAGTGAACTTCCTTTGGTAAAAAAGAATTATACTCTGTCTTTGGCAACGTCCAAATCTCTTACTCCCAAAGTGGTTGTTTTGCAGAGTTCTCCTGGAAAAGCGCAGGTGGAAAAGATACAAAAGTTTACAAAGGCTGATACATCTTCCGGTAAGTCCAGGATTGTTTCGCGTGTTTCCATTCCTGGGAAACACAGACCGTTTAACAGTTCTCTTCTTGCCTGGCCCAACTGGAAACCCCTTTACGGAAATCAACTTCAGACATCTGCCTTGCCGAGGCAAAGAAGCGATGGAGGGAACGTTGCAACGAACGAGGCAAATTTGATGGATAGGGCAAGGAATATAATTAACAAAGATGATCGCGTCGAAATTTTACATAAGCCTATTACAAGCAAGATTTTGAATAAGACTTCGAGCCTAATTCGAACGCTTTCCCCAAGAAGAGGAGTTAATCAGAGCATGCCTAAAGGTCTTCCACTTAATAATGTTCTGCCTACTGACTCTACCGAAGACCCCTCCTTTAAAAAGACAACAACTGACAGTGAGGACGTCTCTGTTATCAAGGGAAGACCTAAGAGTGTTTCTCAAACATCACAATCATTTAGCGTCAAAAATGTCTTGCCCTTTACAGAAAAGGTGAAAAATATTCAAGAGGAGCCTGAGGTTTTTGATGGCTTAACTCATAAAAATACTAATATGCAAACTAAAACAGGGTATTTGCCCACGAAAGACAGTCAGGCAAGTAAAGCTCGCAATGCCAGCCTAAGAATCTTACCCTCACAAGCGAAAAACGATACGTTGTACCGAAATCTTCATAGGGGAGGCAAATCTACACACGTTAATTTTAGAAGCAAGACTCATTACAACCATCATACAAAGTTAGAAGTAGCACTTTCTAATACTGTTTGGGCGAATGTCAAGAGTAACACACGTTTACACTTAAAAAGTGGAACTGGCGTTGATTTGCCTAAAATCAAACCGAGGGACAGATTTCTGGTAGCTGGTCAGGATTTCACACATGATGAGCATGTCTGGTGGCCGATCAACGTCCACCACGGGAGAAATGATTCCACCCTCAGAAACATGAAATTGAAGGGAAATTTTACTTTTCCTTTAAATTCTGCGGCCAAAAAACATTTTGAAGATTTAATCAAGTTTTTTAACAGCTTCAATTCGTCCTCCAACAAAAATTCTACTGCACATTTGAGACTTCAGCCAAGATTAGGCAAGAATTTCACTAGTGAGGCTAAAGTCAAAATGAGACATCGTATTATGAAAGAGAGCTTGCACAAAATATTGAAATTTATTCACCAAAGGAAAAAGCCGCGCCCAAATGAGGGGTTTAAGGTGGAGGAACCTCATTTGAAACACAGCGTTCTGTTGGAAAATGAGACACAACTGTTGAAAAAAGGGTGGAACAAAATTATCAAGAGCAAGGGGTTTGGTTTCGTCAAAGGCTCACCTTTGATAAACAATCACCTCAGATCGAATCATACAGAGTCATGGTCGACGAACAATGGCTTAGGGATAAGTGCGGAAAATACCTATGATAAAATCCTACTGCAAATCATGCAAAATGTGAGCCAAAAAGAGCTTTTGAAACTAGAAGGAGACATCATTAATGCATTGAGCTTTGTCAGGTCTTGGAGTTTGTCACAACCAAACAAAACCGAAATACCACAGCAACAGTATGGCAACAGTTTCCAACAAACCCACCCCAGTGTAAAGCATCAACAGAGGGTTCACAGTGAAAGTTACAAACAAGAACACCATAAACAAGAGGAACCAACTACTGAACAAAACTTGCAGCAACAACACTTACCGAAACGTTTGGAAAATACACTCGAACAAACACAGCTCCAGATTATGAGAAATGCAAGCCGGAAGGAACTTTTAAAACTGGAAAATGACATCATTAATGCATTGAGTCACGCAAGGTTAATAAATGTCACACAACCGAATGAAACACAGAGCCTCAGAAAACTTAATCATAGCAGTGTGACGGATAGAGACGAATTAGTTAAACAAGATTTCCATTTTAAGGAGGGGGAAAAACATAAACACTACCAAAAATTCCAAAAACATCAAAAAACTATTAAACAACTGCCTCGCAAACTTCAATTTGGAGTGCATCAAACTCAAACAACCACAGCCTCAGAGCATCACCAGGAAGATCAGTTTCTGCATAAACATTTGCAAGAAACCAAACATCCTACGAACAACTACAAGAACAAACCTATGTCTATGGGTGCGAGAACTAGAGGTGAAAACTGCACGTCAAAAGTTCTCCAAAAAACTATCAATAAACATGTTGGCAATAAATGTTCTCACAGGAATGTCTCCAGCCATTCGAGCTCGAAGGAGGATTTCTTTCCACACTCCCGCGACACTGCAGAAAAAAACACTGCTGCAGTTAACAAAACTGACCTTCCTTTCAAAACAAGGCCCAACTCGGTTATTTTACCGCAAGCCATCATGACCAAACATAGCTCCTCCAGGAAAATTTCCGAAACAAAGGCTTTGCATTTTGGGATTGGAGACAAAGCCTATCATAAAAGACCTAGTTTCGAAGAGGTTGAGGTCAAAGACGGAACCAGAAATGTGCTGGTACATTTTGATAAAGATTCTCCTCAGAACATGGATATTGAATCAATTGCAGAGGGAAAGTTGGGCTCAGGTATCCTAGAGATGACTGAATTTGTGGATCAAGGTAAGTCGTGGTAATAAAAAATATTTCAAAATAATAGAATTTAAGCACCCGGCCGGGTTGTTCAAAGCTGGGTCACGATAACCCAGGATCGGTGTGAAATCTGATTTCAGTTCTGAAAGCTTTAACAAAAAATTAGGATAATTCTTTCTTACCGCTCAAGTGGTGTTCATTACTACGAAGACCGCTTTCCTATTCATAATTCTTTTTGTCTACAACTTGATTGTTGGACTTTCTAAATAGAATAGAGAAAAATTATCTCCAAAAGTAATAAAGAAACCCGGATTAACCTTGGGTTGGCGCTGATAGGCCTTCGAACAACTGGGCACCTCAGCTGCCGCGGGGGTCCGCATTGAAATTGTGTTACATGTCACGCTCTCCACTTGATAAGCTTGGTCATAAGCGATTCCGGTATTATCACGTGTTGTGAAAGGTTAGGGACCGGTCATTTTCTACTACCTGGGGGTGAGAGGGGGGGGGGTGTGGAAAATTTTTGGGGAT